GATAACATGGATCGAACTAAGAATTAAGTTAGATGTACATCCTTGTTAACAATAAGGATGACATCTTCTCCTATTTAAAGGAAGTTTGAACAATGGATGGGTTAAAAATAAGATTGTAGATATTGCATGTGAAAGAGTGCAAATGAATGTTTAAGAAAGGTACATGTAGCATGATTTGGGAAACTAAATGCACTTCACAAAGAGTTATACCTAGTGATGCCAAAAAAACCCTCCCCGCCATGCCCCGGTGCTGCCCCGCCCCGATGGGTTGGTGGGGCGGGGCGAGGAGGGGGTGCCTTGCCCCGAACCCGCCCCGTGAAAAATAAAAAAAATAATTAATTACAAATTAAAAACAAAAAATAGTTAATTGGAAGTTTTTGAAAAAAAATAAAATAAACGAGGTGGAAAATAGGGCAAGCCCGCGCACCGCCCCGCCCCGCCCCATTTAAGGTGCGACGGGGTGCGGGACGGGACGGAGTGGGGGAGTGGCGGGGCGGGAATGCCCCGCCCCGAACCCGCCCCGTCTTATACCTTGATGAAATTGAGATTTTTAATTAATTTTTCATCAACTTGATGATTTTTATAGGCCATAAAATATGCGGTCCGTCGAAGTACAAATCTCACTCTATTATCGTAATTATAAATTAGTGTGGAGGATCTTAGCAAATCTTTTTAGTCAGATGGTAGTTCTACAAGTGGTCTAACCTCCACCGCCCTTATTGAAAAACTTTTGGGGAAGCCATATTAATTAATCATATTCCCCTTAAAACACCAATAGTGCAAATTACTATTTTCTATTTTACAAAACATTGTCATTAATTTTCGTGTTAGCTAAGTAAACAAATATTACAAATTTTTGTTCGGTCTTTTGAAATGATAAATTAATAGCTCTTATCATAACATTTATCTGAAAAAATAAAGTGGGTAAAATATAAATAACCCATTTCTTGTAGTCTTTGGTCACGCCAACCCATAATTTGACCAATAATGTGAAAAATACAGGATGGAGATTCCTTCCATTGTTGGACTTGGAATGTGCGTGTAATATTCAGAGTGTGTTTGATGCACATTGAAATGGAAAGAATGCATTTTTTTTGCAATGTGATGGTGAATATGTGGTTGAAAAAGAAAGAAAACATATTGATGTGATGTAAAATGTTATTTTATTGAAAAATGTGTTGTTGAAAATAGGTAGAAGAATGAGAATGAAAATGAAAATGTGGCTCAAATATAAACTCAATGTAACTTTTGCTTGTTGAATTCTTGGACGACGCAAAGCATAGCATGCCGAATCAGTCGTTTTAGCCGATGGTCATTATTTAAAAAAAGAAAAAAACATTGTTTTGAATAATGAGTTTTTGAAGAATGCGCTGTTAAAAGTAAGGAAAAGTTTTGGATTTTCGTATAAAATATTTTATTGTGTGAAATTGTGGTTGAAAATGAGTATATAAAAAAAAAATTGAAAGAATGAGAGATAAATAGGGGCTTACTCGTAGTCTTAGCTTCATACCTTTTTAGGTGCTCATTTGTGATTATGAATTTGTTTCTTCATTTTTTTATTTTTATTTTTTTGGTATAATAGATTTTGTAATGGGGTTTTTTAAAAGAATGTGTGACCAAAATGTAGGAAAAATTTTGAGTTTACGTATAAAATTATTTTATTAGAAAATTGTGAAATTAAAATGAGTTCCAAAAAAAATGAATTTTGACAAAATGTGGCTCAAAACTGGAACTCTGGCATCAACCACTTGATGTCGATATTTGGATAGACTATATGGTCAATGGAACGACCAAGTGCATACTTGGTTGGATCTATTCTAGAAAATCAAGTTGCTTCCCTACTTGATCAAAAGGCGGTTGAGTGGCTGAAAACACTCATACAAAAATCAGATTAGCTTTCTTTTAAGAAATCAAAGGGATAGAATTTGGACAGCATTTATAAGCTTACCCTTAAATTATTAGAAAATCAAATTTTATCTCAAGTCTACTTTAAAATTCCTGAAAATTTAGTTTTTTACGATTATATCGACAATAATTCGACAACAGGAGAATCATACAGGGCAGATTCACGCTTAATTCAAGCGTACTATAATCATTTACTTGTATACTTGTTATTATTTATATCCTTCGTTCCTTGAACGGTTGTACACACAATATGAGGGTAAATGAACTCTGAGAATTCTGTACTTGATTGATTTACGAGATTGTAAAAATGAGCTCTAATGCACTATCAATTCAATGCAGTCATACCATATCTAGGACAAATTGTATTCCATGCGATAAGGTCGTTGAGCTGTGGACAGGATTCAATGAGCCAACCATTTGCTCTAAAGTAATGTTATTCAAGGACTTAATTTAATTATAATTAAAGTTCAAGAATTACATGTGCAATTAAACCAATTGTGGCCTAATTTGACTTTGACATGTAGATTCTTTTTTTCTTTTTTTTTTCCCACGCGATAACCCAATTCTCACAAGAAAAAACACGAGAAAAGTTTTTTGATAGAGAAAAATAAGAAATTTTTTTTCTTAATTCATCCGGTCTATAACTAAGTTTTGATTGTCCATATGCAGTTGTAGTTTTGACGTTAGAAAATATCAAAGAAAATTTAAAGATTTAAGATGCCAAGCTCTTGAAAACAAAAGTTGAAAATTCGTGATTCATTGTGCCAGAATATTATGATTAATATCGGAACAACAATTAATTATAGAGTTTTGATAAATTCTAATTTTTTATTTTTTGATTATAATGTATACGTGAACATTTAGTAACGATATTAAATTCTTGAATTAGTAAAAAGTTATTTTTTTAGTATCTAGTGTTGCTCTGCAATGTAAACTTACACTTTTTGTTCATAAGACGGATCTTCCTTTTTTTCCCCTTGATTTTAGAGAGCAAAAATTTCTCTTGTTGGATTGGTTGCTCTACTCTTCTTGGGGGTGTTGCATAGCTGAGGTGTCTCTATTTTTTTTTAATTATACGACCTGAATTTGTAATCGAAAGAGATGGACTTAGCATACCAGCAATTTCTTTTCTACTATTTGATACAATTGAAAATGATCATCAGACCTTAAAAAATTCTCTCACCATGCGTCTTGCAAGCAAAATGGAATTTAAAAGTTATAGGGGCATAATATGTGTTGAAGAAGGGACTCCAAAACTCCACGAAATACGGGCTCTGTTGAATCAACACCACAATTGATTAGCCAAATCACAAACCAACACACCATTTAAGTATGTTTATTATTGATGACTACACAAGAAATACATATTTTTAGCTGAGGTGGGACTGCTAGATGGACCCCACAAGTCCGAATGTACATATTCAAGCATGCCTTCAGTTTTATGAACACTCGTGAAAAAAGTAGTTCTATGATGTTTACAAGACACACAATGGTCACAGAAAGATAAATCAGACACGATCATTTCTAAAAGCACATTTTTCAT